TTCAAGGAGTTCAAGGCACTCACAGAGGCTGAAAGCAACCACAAGCTTGTGGCTGTGAGATCAGATAGAGGTGGAGAGTACACCTCCAATGCTTTCCAAGCATACTGCAAGGAGCAAGGAATTAGGCATCAACTTACTGCTGCCTATACCCCATAGCAAAATGGGATAGCCGAAAGAAAGAATCGAACCATCCTTGACATGACAAGGTCCATGCTTAAGGAGAAGAATTTGCCAAAAGAGTTATGGGCAGAAGCTGTAGCTTGTTCGATTTATTTGTTGAATCGATGTCCAACAAAGAGTGTCAAGAGGGTGACACCACAAGAGGCTTAGAGTGGATACAAGCCGAATGTTACACACCTAAGAATTTTTGGGTGTGTTGCATATGCTCAAGTTCCAGAAGCCAAGAAGAGGAAACTTGATGATAGAGGTGAGAAGTGTGTGTTTGTGGGCTATAGTGAAGAGTCCAAGGCGTACAAGCTCTACAACCCACTAACTGGCAAACTAGTGGTTAGTAGAGATGTCATCTTCAGTGAGGAAGAGGCATGGATGTGGAACAACAAAGAAGTCAGTAAAGAGAAGATCGTCTCCACTGATTTTGAAGAACCAGAAGTTGTACCACCTGTTGAGCAACAACCTGCTCAAACAATCACAACAACTCCAGTGCACAGAATTGCAAGGAGTGGTCCTACATCTAGTGAGGAAAGCAGCTCCTCAACTCCAGTGAGGTTAAGGAGTCTCACAGAGATTTATAGACAAGAAGAAGAAGAAGAAACCAATTTTTTCTGCTTCTATGCAGACCATGAGCCTCTCTCATTCAATGAAGCTGTGGAAGAAAATTGTTGGAAAAAAACCATGGAAGAAGAGATCCATGCCATCGAGAAGAATGACACTTGGGAGTTGACAAAGCTCCCACCAAATCAGAAGGCTATTGGTGTCAAGTGGGTTTACAAGATCAAACGCACTGCAGATGGGAGTGTGGATCGATACAAATCAAGGCTTGTAGCAAAGGGCTACAAACAGAAGTATGGAGTGGACTATGATGAAGTCTATGCTCCAGTTGCAAGACTTGACACGGTAAGATTGTTAATCTCTCTTGCCGCTCATCATAAATGGAAAATTTATCAATTAGATGTCAAGTCAGCCTTCCTTAATGGAGTTCTTGAGGAAGAAGTGTACGTGGAACAACCAGAAGGCTTCCAAGTACAGGGAAAAGAAGATAAGGTGTATCGTTTGAAGAAGGCTTTGTATGGCCTCAAGCAAGCACCACGAGCTTGGAACTCAAGGATTGACAACTACCTTCATCAAAATGGATTACAGAAATGTCCATACGAGCATTCAGTTTACATGAAGAATGGTGCAAAAGGGGAGTTCTTAATTATTTGTCTCTATGTAGATGACTTGTTGTTTACAGGAAACAATGAAGCAATGTTCTGTGAGTTCAAGCAATCCATGTTCAGTGAATTCGAGATGACTGACAATGGATTAATGTCATACTTTCTTGGCATAGAAGTGAAGCAAGGAAGTGATGGTATCTACATTTCTCAACAAAAGTACATGAGAGATATATTGGAGAAATTCAATATGGACAAGTGCAATATTGTCAACACTTCAGTTGCAACTGGATTGAAGCTGTCTAAGGAAGGAGAAGGTGAGTTTGTAAACTCAACCGTGTACAAAAGCTTGGTTGGAAGCCTAAGGTACCTTACAATCACAAGACCTGATATAGTTTATGGTGTTGGACTCGTGAGTCGATACATGGAAACACCAAGGGAGTCTCATTGGCTGGCCGCCAAGAGAATTTTGAGGTACATAAGAGGTACTCTAAACTATGGTCTGTTTTATAATTTTGGTGAAGATACAAAATTATTTGGTTATTCAGATAGTGATTGGGGAGGTGACCAAGATGAAAGGAAAAGCACAACTGGCTATGTGTTTTTTCTAGGATCAACAACTTTCTCATGGACTTCAAAGAAGCAATCAATTGTTGCTTTGTCATCGTGTGAAGCCGAGTACGTTGTTGTAGCCTCAACCGTGTGTGAGGCAATTTGGTTAAGAAATCTGTTGAAGTCAGTGTGTCATCCACAAGTGGAATCGACTGTGATTCATGTGGATAACATCTCAGCTATCAAGCTTGCTAGGAATCCAGTCCAACATGGAAGGAGTAAGCACATCGATACCAGGTTCCATTTTTTGAGGGACCATGTGAAGCAAAAGACAATTGAGCTTGTCTATTGTCACACGAAGGAACAAGTGGCAGACATCTTCACTAAGCCATTACCAGTTGAATCATTCCGGCTGTTACGTGAATTGCTAGGCATGAAGGCGTTTTAATTTGAGGGGGCATGTTGGAAATACAAATTAAAAGTCATGTGATCTGTCCATGTGATGCTAACCTTTCTTTACAGCTTGTTTCCAGCAAAATATAATCATCATTGCTCCTTCATTATTCAGCTGAATGGTGATGAAAGACAGCAAGTGTGCTGCCATGTGATGTGCTAGCAGGAAGACAGCAGTGTGCTGCCATGTGCTAGTTGAATCTGTGTTATTTGCAGCTGGAAAGACAGCTGCTGTGTGCAAGCCGAAAGGTGGTTATTACAACCTGCCATGATGCAATGCATGTGTATGCCAACTATCAAAGTTGCTGCATGTATTTGAAAGGGTGTAAAGATGTGGAACACCATCATTCATTATATGTATTGTTGGATTGTTTATTTTTTCAGTTTTGTATAAATAGGCCATCTTGCTAAGCCTTAAATCATCCCATCCAAATCCCATTTCCCATTCATTTAATTTCAGCTTGTAAGCTTTAAGAGTTGTAAACTCTTCTAATATTTCAAAGTGTTTGTTATCACCAAGCTTGCTACTTCTTTCCTTTCTTTGTCCAATTTTATTGAGAGTGAAAGTGAGAGGTGTGATAGAGTTTGTAAACTTATCACCCACATATTTTGGTATTGAGTTAGCAAACTCTTGTGAATACCAACACCTCTCACTCTTATCATTTTCCCTCTCTTCGAATCCCATCATCACCCACTGGGGCTTTCGCCCCACTGCCATTTCTTTAATCTCCTGGCCGTCACCATTTTTCTAGGAAAAGCCACCAAACAAAATGGCAAAGGGAGAGTTCCAAAAAATCAAAATGAAGAACCCCACAAAAACAAATCCCAAAACGAAAAACACAGATATAAACCCATAAAATTCAAGAAATTAGAAAAATTAAATTTCAGAAATTCAAGAAGTGACCATTTGAAGATTTGCCGAGCTTCGGATTTTTGAAATCCTCCGTACTTTCATTTGCTGGAATGGAAGTTCAATACAGTCCAATTTTTTCCCTTCCTTTTCCCCCATTTCTGGGTTCATACCAGGACCACCACCACAATAATTAGCAGAGCAACCATCATCATCACCATCACAGATTCGCTTCCTCGACGCGTGCCAACCTCTACACCTTCTCCTTTATGTCATCGTCCGTCTGGTTCTCCATCAACAACCGTTCGATTTCTCCATCAACAACCGTTCGATTTCTCCATCAATATCAATGTATTTAGTAGTGAATTATAATCTGTTTATCTGAACTCTTGACATAATCAAATAATTTTTCATGGTTATCTTTACGAGCTAGTTGAAAACCTTATCTTCTACCATCCCACTACGTCCTCACGTTCCATTAGCTGTAGTGTCGGACTTTTGTCACCGTCAACCATCATACTTTATATCCCAGAATTTCAGCAAAGAACAATAAAAGGTTTCATTCCTTTTTTGGTCACATCCCAAATTAGCAACAAACCATTCGTGCAGGTTTCTCATCTCGCTCTGAATCTCTTGGTGCACAGATGCAAAGACAACTTTGACCAGAATATTATATGTCAAAAGGTAACGACGAAGTCGACGAGAGATTAAAGATTTCATCTGATGCTTCTCATCTAATTGCTGCTGCAGCATGGGACTTGATTAGTGTTCTGATGACATGCATTAGCATGCAAATTAAAACCTACGTCAACCCAAAGCTATACATATACTTTACACATTACTAATCCAATAAATTGGAAAGAAATCCTTCTTTAACTGAAAGAGAAGATTCAAATGGGTAATATTGCTCCACAGACACTTTTGATGCAGATTGCAGTAGTGCCGAAAAGTATCGAAGAGTGCAAAGAATTTCATATCAGAAAATTGACAAAATTAAATACAGTTTATTTTGAATTGTTTCACTTCTAGTTATAAAAACATCATACATGTTATGCTGTTTAGGTGAAAAGATGTGAGTTGGGGGATAAGATTGGCACATTTATTAGTAGGTGCTTGGTGCGTCTTTATGAAATCTTAATTTGGTATCAGAGCAGATATTTGATTAGGCTCAAATTGTGTAATGATCTTGTCTTGCATGACTTATCGGGTTTACTAACTTGCCTTGCTTCCGCGCTTGAATGATCAATGCGGAAATAGTACCACTTGTAGCCTACTATGTGACGGTCTTACGTGAGAGGGAGTGTTGAGAATTCAATAATTTCACATCAAAATCCGTGTACTTACTAGTTAATATAGTGGGTATCTAACCCATCTTTCTAAATCATGACATGAAGTTCTAAAATATAGTTCAACCATTCGAGTTGAATGGTGGGCCCCTGATTGAGCTTTTGGGTCACTACAAATGTTCTCAATTTTGAATAAATTTTTCATTTACTTAGAACAGAATCGCGTGATATTATTATTCCACTTAAATTATATAACACGTAAATTTTTTATTACATACTCTATAAGTAAGTCATTTTACCTTCTTGTTCGCATCTATTTAGTATAACACATAATAGTAAACCACATGTCTTATGTTTCTGTACTCGTAGGTAAAAACTTTTAGTAGCAGTACGTCCTAGTGTATGAAAAAGAAAAAACATAGTACTGCAGATCTTATACGTTAGAATTTTTTGGTTACTTTATTTCTTCAAGGAATCATATATCAATCTCCACTCGGCCGAATCTAATATCTTCCTCCTATACTACCACATACCAGTACTGCTATAAATACCTTCCACACCCTCCATCTTTCTCTTCAAGTCTAGCTTCTTCTTCAGTAGCAACCACCATGGAGTATAAAGTCGAATCAACAGAAATTCTGAGGTTATATCTATATATATATATATATATATATATCTTTCTCTCTCTCTCTCTCTCTCAACACATACAGAAATATCACTGCATGCACATTTTTTTTCAGCTTAATTAAGTTGTAACTTGTAAGTAATTTTTTCGATTAATCATGGATGATTAGTATATAAACTAATGAGAATTATATATATGCGGTGATTAATCAGGAACAAGTGTGCAGCATGCTATCGACAATTCAATAGAATCGAGCACTTAGTGGAGCACATGAGAACCTCACACCACTCAGCTCATGAACCCATGTGTGGAATTTGTAAGAAGCATTGCAGATATTTTGAATCTCTCAGGGAACATCTTATAGGTAACAAACAAATTATGCAGATCAAGTGAGCGTAGCCAAGTTGACTATAAACTGTGTTTTTCTCTTTCTGCATCAAAGTTCAAATCCTTCTCTCCGTAGCTTAAATTAATTTAGAGTAAACTATATCTCTTATACAAAAAACAGTTATTAATTACATAATCCCAAATTTCTTTTGCAAATAATAATCCTATTATTTCTATTTTCAGGGCCATTGCCAAAACAAGAATGCAGAAATATATTCAGCACCAGAGGATGCAAAATCTGCTTAGCCATCCTCGAAAGCCCGTATGCTCTTAGGGTTCACCAGGACAGATGCCAACTCTCTGGCGGCAACGCTGTATTAATCAGCACACACTACCTTATTAATCATGAACATTTTGCCCAAACCCTATTTGCTATAAATTTAAATTCATTCCATATAATACATTTCAGGGATTACTTGGTCGCTTTGCTAATCTGGGCATTCGTGACAATACTGAAAGTGGTAGCACAGGAGGCACTCAAGTTGTTGCACTTGCTTGCAAAATGGTTGGTGGTGGCAGCGATGGCTCCCTGGATCTCTGCGCAAAGGTCTGCCTCACTGATGAATATGACAACATCATCTTTCAGTCTTATGTCATGCCACTGATTCCAGTCACAAACTATAGGTATATATGCATTTATATGAAGAATTATACTAACTAATATGTGACGTATGTAGCGTAAATATATAGGGGAATGATTTCACTCTTCTTCATTTCTGACTGTTGGATGGAACAAAACAAAAGACGAAGATATTGTGAAAATTGTACTTCCTACAATAAAGATGTCGTTGCTTTAAGAGAATATGGTCATCATTTCGGAGTGTGATTTAGCGATTGAATGGGTTTATTTTTATATACATGACCGATCATTTTGCTTTATACTTGTATATATACAGGTATGAAACAACTGGTATTCGCCCTGAATACTTGAGGGATGCAATCCCTTTGAGGCAAGTGCAAAAGAAGATCCAAGACTTCCTCTGCAATGGGGAACCAATGTGGAGGATTCGACTCCGAAGTGGAAGAGCTAGGATTCTTGTGGGTCACGGTTTGGATCATGACCTTGACTCTCTGCAGGTTGAATATCCACAAGTAATGATTAGGTAATTCAACTTATTTTTCTTTCATCCAAACAAAAAAATATCCATTTTATAAAATCATCAGACTCTCTTCGATCAATGAAAAGAAAATAAAAGACAGCGAAGTGCACAATGACTATTTTAAAGTACTAATTAACAATTATCTATATATATTTATAAAAATATAGGATCACATATACACACATACAACTTTCCATTGCGAATTTCAATTGAAATTCTAGTTCTAAACGTGACTGACTGTATAGGGATACTGCAAAATATCCTCCATTGATGAAATCAAGCAAGCTCAGCAACTCCCTCAAGTATCTCACACAAGCATATCTTGGGCAAGTACCCAACCCTACTATTAGTTCCCTGTATACATAAATATAAATTCTACTAATGCAATTTTACATATAATCTATATAGGTATGACATTCAAACAGGCATTCAAGATCCTTATGAGGATTGTGTTGCAACAATGAAGATCTACAAGAGAATGAGATCCCAAGTTCACAAAGTAGAGGCATACCCGCTAGCTTCCGACACTCAAAACCGAAATAACTTTGCGGCGTGGCGCCAAAATGAGCTTGAGAGGATGAGCCCAGATCAAATGATGGAAATCTCAAGGTCTGATTACTACTGCTGGTGCCTGGACTCTTATAGTGGCTGAAAGTGAAAGAAGGCACCTATATATATAGAACAATTAAGGAGATTAGTACTAGATGAGCAATGGTAATACTATGTATTTATCTTTAATAATTAATCATAAATAACTTTGAGAGTAATGGAAATACATGATCGTGTTTGCATGCATTTATGAATAATGATAAATTTTAATCGAAGAATATATGTAAACCAAATAGTTGTACAAGCTTGATACCATATTTATATATAAGATGCACAAATATTATCACATGATTGATTTTTTATTTTTAAAACAAGGGATATTCTATAATAAAGAAAAATAAATAAAGAATTTGAATCCAGGACTCAATAGTTTAGTTTGTTAGAGCAACTCTTACGGGTTTTATACTCAAAACTTCTATTTGGTTCTTAGTAGCACATACATTAAAGATGAACACTGTAATCTCCATGTTCCCCCTTGCAACATCACCCATTGGAGATGCTTTTACAACTCATAATTTTCAGAATTTTGATCGAACTTTAAGCTTCTACTATCAGCTAATCTAAATTGCACGAAGAAAAAAATTCAAACTCGAGTGCGTAAGTAAGCATATCCGCTTGGGTTATTATACAAAATGGTTCCTGAGATTTGCATGATTAATAGAAATGGTCCCTGAGATTGTCCACCATCCATGATTTTGGTCATTCCGTTAAAAACTCTTTGGGCAAATTTTAAAGCTTCGTAACTTAACCAAATTGGACCCATAATATATCAAAATGAAGATAAGAAAGTGTAGAAATAGATTTTACCATTTGGAAGCCCAACCGGAGATGACCGGAAAATAGCGTGACTGGTCCGCGGGAAAACTAGAAAACTCGCCGGAAACTGAGTAAACTTTAAATGTTCATAACTTCTTCAATACTCAACGAAATCGAGTGATTCGAAAACGAAAATAATACTCCTCGATGAGACGAAGAGAATGGTATGTTTCTTTACTGCTAAATCGCCATGGTTTGGCTGGAAAACTGCTCGAAAGTGGACAACTCGAAAATGGTTAGCCATTTTTGAGCCGTTATCCGACCAAACCACGGCGAGTTAGTCTTCAAAAAAGGTACCATTCTCTTTGTCTCATCAAGAAGCATTATTTTTGTTTTTGAATCACTTGATTTGGTTAATTATTAAAGGAGTTATGAACGTTTAAAGTTTACCCAGTTTCCGGCAAGTTTTCCAGTTTTCCCATGGACCAGTCACCTTTCAGGCTATTTTCCGGCTATCTCCGGCAACCATTGGGCTTCCAAATAGGCATAATCTTATTCTACACTTTCCTCTCTTCATTTTGATATATTATGGATCAAATTTGGTTAAGAAACGATTAAGTTACAAAGCTTTGAAAATTGACCAAAATCGTTTATAACTGAAGGACCAAAGTCATGGATGGTGAACAATCTCAGGGACCATTTCTATTGATTTTCAATCTCAGTGACCATTTCTATTGATCATGCAAATCTCAAGACCGTTTTGTATAATAACCCTATCCGCTTTATTACAAGTCATTTTAGTTCAAACAACCAGCAGATTAACAAATATGCATCAAACACAAACTGATTGCCTGCCTGGGCTAGTACACTCCCTCTCATGGGATGGGAGACACAAACACCTTTCCGGTAGCTCTCGAGGTTTCAAGGTAGGCAAATGCTTCAACCATCTTCAAAAATGGTGCTTAATCTTCCCACTCTTCAAAGTAAGGCGCTAGTTTCTCCAAGATAGCCCCAGTTGAAGTAAACTCAAAACTATGCTTATTCAAGTTGACTAAAGTAACGTGCTTTCCATTCTACACTCGACTTTGAATTTTCTATTCGTAGTTATTAGATTAGAATACTGCCTGAATAATAAGAAATTTCCATATATATAGAATTTGAGCTATATAGTATGGGGACATTGGATTGAGAAATAAGATCAACATTCTACCTGAATAGCATGTGTTCCGACTCCATTGGCGCCTCCCAAAACAAGGATGCAGTTACCGGCAGATAACTCAGTTCTTTCGAGACCTTCGTACTATCTCGATAGCAGGGGGCAGGCTAGCAGCTTCAGCAAAACTCAGATTTTGGGGCTTGCGAGCTAATATGCTTTATCCCTCACCTTAAACTTTGACACTTGGCTTCCTACTTTCACCACCACACCAGCAACTCATACCCTGGAACTGACCAATGAAGAAAAAGTTCAAACAAACAATTTGTTGTGACGGACGGCGTAGCCAAATTGAAAAGGAATGTGTTCCCTTATAACTACTGTTACAATCCACTAATCCACTACTTTTGTCGAAAGCAAACACATTTGGAAACCAAAATGACGATGTGTTCTCATTTTCTTGTTATACGATCAGTGGTTGAAACTTCTTCAATCGATATTGCCATGAAAATATCCCAAAAATTAGAAAAAGATACGGAAAGGAGGGTGAAGCAAGCTTCACCTCATATCGGAGAAACTAAATTTGGGCTAAAATTGACATATTTTGTCGATTTCTGACATATCAGTTTAAATATCGATGGAACTTTTATATTTCATCTCAACCAATAATTGACATTCTCTAAAGTTTCATTTTAAAATTTTATCATTTTCATTTAAAAGAACTGATATCGATAATAGATATTCATTCCGTCAATACTTTCACAGATTTTTAAATCGATATCTTAACAGATACAGATATTTTAAATATTGCGTGTGATATGAGCCCAACTTTATTGGACCACGCCACCGACATTTGGGCTAATTTCACTTTGTTGGTCCAGTCCATCAATCTCCGTCACCCGTCACTCTATAATTTCTTGTCTTCCACCTCCACTCTTCCTTTCCGAAACCCTAGTCGCAGGGTTTTGCACAATACAAAATCTCAGCCATTTTCCCTCATTTTCTCGGCACCACCGCAAAGATGGTGAAGAAGACGGGGAGGAAGGTCAACATTGCGATCTAAAAATGTAATATCTACAACACCATTGCTGATTCTGCTTTTCTGCTTGCATTTCCATTTGTATAGATTTTGTACATGTGTGTTCATTTGCTACGGCACAAAATCAAATAGAATTATATTCCCCAACCATGATCTAGAGGATTTCATTTTTCATTCTGGGGGTTTGTAGATTGTGTACATTGTAGCCTGATGCACCTTTCTCAATGGATAAACATAATTGTAGATTGATGCACTCTGGTTATAGTTCGAATTCTTAGGTTGCCATCCACTGTTGTTGGAGGCAAGTTTCCATCGGATATGCCAAATACCGATACCAGTTCCTCTGTGTGCCTGTCTAGCATGAGCACATTCATGTACTTGCGCACGCACGATCCATATGATGTACTTTTAGAAGATACTGAAAGCTGTAAATCATATAACAAGCTTCATAGTTGTGGTTTGTCTTTCTAGCTATTCTATAAACGGATGGCTGACATATTTTTTTGTTCATTGCTCAACAGGTTTGCAGAGTTGCTCCTATCCCAGGGGAGACTAAAGTGTGGCAGTATATAACACTCACAAAGAGGATTTTCTTGATTGATTGCCCTGGAGTTGTCTATCAAAGCGGTGATTCCCAAACAGATATTGTACTGAAGGGCGTGGTACGCTTCTTCTGTTTTTCCTTGTGTAGCTCCTAATAGTGAATTTTACTTTTTTGTTGTTCTCATTGATCTTTTAAGTATGGACTGTAAACAATATTTTGGGTATATTGTTTTGGAAATATTGATTTGCTACCAATATTGTCTTTAAATTGCTCGTTTGTGAACCTTGCTTCTGGTTTATTGATGTAGTCCATGAAAACGATAGTGGTCATGTGAGCTACACCAGAAGTCACATGACTGGAAATATTAATTTGTGTCTATACTATTACCAACTTCCTGCTGTTCGTAACATCTATGATGCCTGTTTTTCACTAGAGTGTTCAGAGTGACTTTTTTGGAGCATCAATAACATACCCCTCTCTACATAGAGCATTTGTCTCTGATGCTTGTGCAGTAATTGTGCAACCACATAAATGAATTGTTCTCTATACATGCACGTATGCATATGCATAGAATGTCACTTGTTGCGTGCAATGTCATATTGTGTATCTCGCTGCTGTACTTTCTTTATTTTTGTCCAAGTTATATTCTAGATTGGTTCGAAAGTAGAATCTTCCTGCTGTACTAGTTTAACCCCTTTAACATTTCTGTTTCCTTGTTCTCTGGGACTTGGAGCCTGCGCTTAATGTTTGCCTAAAAATGTAATATTATGCTCATCAAATGGTAAATAATTTGGGTCTATTTTGCTAGGTACGTGCCACAAATTTGCAGGATGCTACAGAACACATAGGAGAAGTTTTGAAACGAGTTAAGAGGATCCACCTGAAAAGAGCATATAAGATAGAGAACTGGTATGCTTCTTTGTCTTTGTGTTGGATTTTGATGTTTATGTCCTGTTATTAAGGGTGTATTATGTGGCCTTTTATTCTGTTATTATCGTTCTCACCTGATTCAGGTTGCAATCATTTTTTATATGATCTATGTACTTTGTAATTTTCTTTTTGACACAAATCCTGCAAATGGAACGTATATTCTTAGAGAGTGACACGTAGCTGTATTTTAATGGTCCTATGTTCTCAGGGAGGATGATAATGACTTCCTGTGTCAGCTTTGCAAATTGTCAGGCAAACTTTTGAAGGTAACTCGCTACTTAATAATGCTTTCTAATTATCCCACTAGTCATAACATTTCTACCCATAGTTCCTGCAATGCTTTGGGAAATTTCCTTGCTCAGATCTGGTCAATTGGTGTTTCCCAAATTATCTACATACATATATGTACACGCAAACACAAACATGCGTGTTACTTTTAATGTATAGGAAGATGTCTTTTGCTAATGACTGGAATATTGATCAGGCTCGTCCTTATTTAACTTTGCCTGAATGGGCAGCTCAAATTCAGTCTGCAATACAAATCTGGAAAGAGAACACTGTATAGATGAATATTGAAAGTTCCCAGTGTTTTACTCATTCTTTAGAAAGATGTATTTTTCCTGTCAATGTTAGTCGCATGGATTTTGTGAGACTCTGAGTTTGTGATAGATAATGCCCCAATGAAACAGAGGCGAACCCTGCAGGTGAAACTATGATGGTTGACCTAATTAGAAAACAAATTATTCTTGTCCACAATCTGATAGTCGGCAACTTCAACAAATGTTAAACCACATTTTGATCTTTCGTTCCTTTGCTGTTTCAATGTTTATGTGTCTGCTAAATTTTTGGCTGGTGTGCTTCCGGGGTGGTGAACCTGACTTGATGACTGCAGCAAAGATGGTCCTCCACGACTGGCAGAGGGGTGAGATACCATTTTTTGTGCCGCCACCAAAAAGAGAATCGCCAACGGGGGAGCCTGATATAAATCACAATAAAGAAGACACTGGAAGATAACAATCAGGCTGCAGCTTATCGAGCCATTGGAGATATTATTGCATCTCAGAAGGTGAGCACTATCCCCGTGCAAAGGGATCTTTTCAGTGAAGAAGAATTAAAGGGCGATGAAGGACCGAAACAGCTCCCAGCCGCTGAAGTATCTGAGAAGTCTTCAGAGTCGGACGATGAAGTATCTGACCACAGTGACTCCGAGGATGACGCGGCTGAACGGTCTGAGGATTCTGAAGACAACTGAGCTCCCAACACATATTTGTGTCACGGAAGGTGTTTTTGTAGTCCATAAATGTTATTTTATCTTTTCAGATGAACCTCATCTCGAAAACAAGTACGAGTAATTTATTTTGTTTGGGTTTTTTTTTCAATTGTAAAATCTTTTATGAAGTGGTATTAAAATTAATGTTTGTTTTGTGTTTTGCTCACCTATGAACCATTCTGTTTCTCAATCACGTTAAGATTAGCCTTGAATGGGACTGCTTCTTCAGAAAGCACCTATGCTTGTTAGTTGTAACCACTTTCAAGCTTGTCAGTGTTTCATTGTGGTAAATTTTCTTTGGTGTCTACTAAGCGGCTAGTTTAAGAGTAATATAAACAATAGGGCGGTGATATCCACATGCTTGTTTTACCTTCTACATAGTTCTGTTAATTTTTGTCTTTTGATTCTCTTCAATTCATTTGATACGATAACCAGAAATTAAGAGATGTGCGATAAGTGAAAAAAAATGTGTGTAGATAACATCATCCTAAACAATAAACCATAGAAAGATTAATGCTTGGAAGAACAAATTTCTAAACTAAAGTTTGTAAACCGAATGATGTGGATGTTGATGATTGGATTATTGTGTTGATTAACAGGGTAATGTTAGGGAGACCAAATTTTTAAACTAGATGATGCTTGACCAATAAGAAACAAACACGTTAATCGACACTTAGTTAATAATCTAATCATCTACAACCACATCATTTGGTTTAAAAGATTTGGTCTCCCTAGCATTTTCCTGATTAACATGCTTATTTCCTATTGGTGACACATTATTTGATTTGCCAATTTAGCTTAAAACTTTAACCTCCTTAACATTATCCTCGAAAGTTTGTTACAACTTTCAACATGATAGCCAGTATGCATTGGTTGGCCTGTCAATTTAAAAGAATGGCACAATGTTCTTTGGAACCTTGAACCTGTTTGGTATCATTATTGAATCCAATTTTTTGTTTCTATAACTCACGGGTATCAAGTAATTTAGTTAGGATAATGCTAGGGAGATCAAATTTGTAAATCAAATTTTGTAATCAGCCATTTCTTGTACGAAGATTTCAGTTGGTTCAAGGCAACATCGCAATTTGTCGTGCCCAAGTTGTGCCCTTTCGTTATCTCCAAATCCGAAGAGTTGTCCGCGGTTAGTGACAGCAACAGTATGGTACAGCCCAGTGCTAATCTGAGAAACATGATGAGCTCTTAAGCTATCGAGGATTCGAGGGCTCAAGATCTTATCAGATAATCCCCTGTCGGGAAATCCAAGGCTACCAAAGCTCATCCAACCGCAACCATATACTGAACCGTTGTCACAGAGGAAAAAGGTCTTCAGCTTTCTAGCACACCTACAGAGTACAGTAAACTGTCATAGCACATCTGTGGATTAAAAAGAGAAGTTCCACATGAAAGGGGAAAATACAGGAGAGAGATGCACAGATTTGTATGCGAGTTTCACAACGCCAAAGTTGTAGTGTTGGAGCATTGCATCTACTCTTAACATTTGAGGGCAGCATAGAACAATGGACTTAGAAAATCATAATTTATCAGAAATGATAAGATGAATGAAAAAACCAAACCTGCACAGCGAGGTGGCTTTTGAGCTTGGTCAAGAGTTCTGGGGTGGTCTTGTCAATCTCATCCCCATGGCCCAATGCACCGCAGTAGCCTTTACCCCAAGTATGTACCTGCAATTTCCATGGTTTTTGACAGAAGTCAAATACATGCTAACAGGGCCGTCTTTGAGATTTCGAGATCCTGTGCGAAATTCATAAAATGGGCCATTCTTATAAGACATCTTAAAAAAAATGAACAATTTATTGATGTTAAAAAGCAATATCGATATAAACTTTAAAACTCACTAACCATCTATTTCTAAATATTATTAAATGTATAAAAAACTACAAAATAATCATAGTACTAATAACTAACAATTAGTTCAATCTAAAGAAACCAAATAAACAAAAATTAAAAAAGTCTAGCACCGAAGTTTCACTTAAAGATGGCTCTTCGTGCATTCTTTGCTGCAAAATCATCAATTAAACCTTCATAGTCAATTTTGTTTAAAAAACTTACTTTCAATTGATATCAAAGCAAGTCCATTTAACCTTTCCTGCAACATAGTTGACCGCAAGTATGATTTTAATAACTTTAATTTTGAGAAACTCCTCTCCTTTCTGCAGATGCAACAGTAATAGGTATATTCAACAAAATTCTGTATGCAATGCTTGCAGTCGGGGAACAACACATCATCTTCAAGTAGTTCAATATGTCAATGGATGTCTTTATTTCTTTTGACAAACGCTCTCGTAAAAGCTTCAACTCTACTAATAATGCATCCCCATCAACATCAAAGAGCTCATCTTTCTTGAGAAAGTTTTGAAGCCGATCACAACAATCTTTCAATTTACTATTGTCCATTGAATTCAACCGTTCTAAAGTAAATAAAAACCGAAATATATCATCGTATGCTTGATATTCTTCAAACATTTTCTTCAGTGAACCAATAGCTTGATTTATTATATACAAGAAGTAATGAAGCCTAAAAGATTCCTCTGCTGATTGTTCAGTTGGTTGGGATGATTCACCTTCATTCTCATCAAAATGTCTTTTTCTACGAACTTGACGCTTTTCTGGAAACACGGGATTAATTTCCATTTCAATAGCAAGTTTTTTTTAGCATTAATCATAGCCTCTGCAAACCCAGTTTCTCTGTACTTTTCAAAATAAGTGATCAATCCTTGTACTTGTTCTATAGCAACATCAATAAGCATGTCTTTAGATTGCAAATCTTTGCTAACCTCATTAACAGTAGCCAATATTTCATACCAAATAGTCATGCCCAATAAAAACTCAAAATTCCCAATGTCATATGCTGCCAAAGATTTAGTTGCACTTTTTGTTACTAAGTCATTGTCACTTTTTGCTAATTGGAGTAGAGTTTTTTTTTATTTGTAGAGGTTGAGATTGAATTGCTTTAACACTTGCAACACGGCTCTCCCATTGTGTGGTCAACAAAGAATTGAGAGTCAGTCATTTTATATTTTCCTTTAGAATCAGCCATCATTTTGTAGAATTTGCGAACAAGCTATAAATACGTTGTACTATTCCAAAGAAGTCTTTTGCTTTGCCACAAGAGTTTGCCATATTACAAAGTGTTAAGTTAAGACTATGACAACCACATGGAGTGTACATGGCCCTAGGATTTATATCCAAAAGCCTATTTTGTACACCTTGGTGTCTCCCCTTCATATTTGATCCATTATCATAACCTTGCCCTCTTACATCATCAATATCAAGATCAAGAACTTTTAAAACATTCTGCAACTCTTTAAACAATCATTCTCCTTATGTGTTATTCATAATCAGATATTGCAAAAAATATTCTTCTACTTTTACTGAAGTACTGTTCATATCCACACATCTTATGATCAAGGTCATCGGTTCTTGATGGCTAAAATCAGGAGTACAATCAAGTATTACGGTAAAATATTTAGCTTTTTTGACTTTTTGAATGATTGCATCTTTGATTTCACAAGATATCAACAATATCAACTCATTCTAGATGGTATGACTAAGAGAATGATAACAAATCTCATTATTTTGGAAGCGTTGAAGATGATTCTTTATCAATGGATCAGATTCAGCCATCATTTGTACTAGGCCCATAAAATTTCCATTGCTTTCTTGATAAAGCTTATCGTTATTTCCACGAAAAGCCAGTGTGTATTTAGCTAGATTTTCATAATGGAGATCAACCTTCGTAGTAACTCCCTCCAATGCTCTTTTTCTTTCTTGATCTGGTCGTCCATAACTTTGTCAATTGTTTCGTTTTTCTGCAATCTAAGACGCAAATCAATCCAAGTGGTCATGTTCGAGATGTGATCAAAACTGTTTCATGCTCTTTAAGCCACACAATGAGACGTGTCCAATCGTTGTAGCCCTCATTTGCTAATTGACCTTTGAGAGACCCTTTCTTGAACAATTTGCAACAAAAACAGAACACTTTATCAACATCCTTTGAATAGACTAGCCAATCTCTATCATGTTTCTCTCCATTGGATAAGTATTGAGTATAAAAGGCTGCATTAAAACGCCTATCAAACTGATCTTTAGGACCTTTCTCAATAGATAGATCTTTTGCAGGACCTTTTTCTACCAACAAATCAATCCATTTGGGATCAAGACTATCCCAAATTTGAGAATCATAAATGTTTGAGGGAATTGACTCACTCGGTTGACCATTGACAATAGGAGCATCCTCAGGATTATCATTCCCATCAAGGTCATCATTGCCCAAATCATCAGCTAATTTCTCATTGTCATCCTGTTGTTCCGTAATTAAATCATCTACTGAACTTTTTGGTTCTTTTTCTTTGAGAAAGAACCTATCAATAGCTCTTTTTTGAGACTGAGTCAATTGTTCAATTTTTCTTTTTCTTTGACGCTTCAAGTAGCTAGATGGATATTTTCTAGTCAGTCTTTTATATCTCAAATAATATCACAATAAAATTATAGTAAGTATGAACAATGAAACATGATAGTCCACAATATGTGAGTGTCTAGTGATTTTTTGTAACTGCTCTCCTCTTGATTTTGCCCTGAAAAGTACAAAAGAAAAAAAATTATAATAAATGAGAAATACCTAAATCTTCAAATTCCAAGTCAATATACTTAAATTAGTAAATATCTTACTTTAATTGAAGTCTACATCATTCTAATAAGTTGAATTGTCTTCATAATTTGGAAATTTCTCTTCAATTTCATGAACTTATAAATTAAGGTTTAATAATTTGTGGGAAAAAGAACAATGGAAAGAGAGAAGTAAAGTAGATTGTAGCGGCAGTGATGGGAATTCTCACACTGGAGTCTGGAACCGTGGTGTAAATTGTGAAAGAAGAAAAGTGGGAGCAGTGATGGGATTTGGGCGTGAGAGAAAAGTAGGAAGCAGCATCAGCGGCACTGATGGGAATCAGCCATCAGATTTTTATATACATATTTCTTGATTGGATTAGTATTTTTATATATTATTTTGTATATTATTATATTTAGTAAAAAATTATTTTTGGGGGGCATTTATATATATATATTGATTTGATTAAATTTTTTTATATATTATTTTTATATAATATTATTTTATATATTATTATATTCAATAAAAAATTATTTTTGGGGGCCCTAAAATTTTGGGACCGGAATCGGTCACATCCCTTAAAATCCGGCTTTGACTAAATTGTACGTAGCTGTAAAGCACAAGGTTGCAAAATGTTCTTTACTATAAAAACAAGGTCTTTTTCACTTTGCTTTCACAAGTGGAACAGGAGTTAGAAAAATGTACATTTATGTCTGGTTATGGTTTTTTTGCCAATTAGTTCAGTTTGCAATACGATAATATCCTTTTAGTCTTCTTTGGTTATTAAGATTCATCAGATTGATTGGATAACATTCAAGTTCAATTGAAGATGGAGGCAAATGACTTTTTATTTTTAGGGGATCAGAGTGGGATGAGTTTTCTTAATTAAGATAAAAAAAAACTTGTCTTTTTTTAGTCACACAAAATTTTGGGAATTAAAAAGTGATGAGTTTTCTTAATAAGAAATTCATCTTTTACCTTCACATTGAACACAATTTTTTTTCCTTGATATAATGGAGTTATACAATCTAACTCATTCCTAGATATAAGACGAGCCCTCAGGTACTTATTAATATTGTACAACATTAATTCATTTGTTATATATTCAAGAATATTGCAGGGCGATGGCTTGCAGCTCATAGACCTTTTACTGCAATCTAACCCATTTCAATGGAGAAGAAGAAACACATATTTGGTTTTCTTTATGCGATTTCAAATTTTGAACTTTGTCCCCTTTTCATGGATGTTATCTTATAGAATATTCGGGTTCCATTATTTTTCAAGCAATCCCGAGTTTTAATGTGATCTGCAATCCTTTGAGACGGTTGGATAACCATTTCGTTTTGGGGAGTGATTGATTTTTACACTCCTTGTTTTACCTCTTGCATTCCTCTGTTTAGAACCCTAATGGGATACCATTTTTGTTTAACAACCATCCTTCATTGCTTTAATACGATTGTGTGGAATTTTATGCCTTGACTCGGGAGGAGCTCCATTGTTTTATATGGTTTGTTGGGTAGTTTGGAATGGAAGATATTAGTTCCTGTTATGAAAATAACAAGGTCTTTCTCACTGTAGAAAATGTCTTTGACATATTGAAGGGTTTGGAAAATGTGCATTAATGCGTGTGGTCGGGGTTGTTTGCAATGAAATACTATCTTTTATGCTCACACACACACACACACAAAAATTATACATAGCTGCATACCGTTGGTTGCTCCTATATATATCTGATATGTGCAGGCCTGCTACTGCAAGAAATATCCAAGTTAAAAAAAAATGGCTCATGGTTTCCTCCTCATATTCTTATTCTCTTTCATTATATCTACAACAAATATTCATGCAAGCAACCAAAATGAACGCATCTCTCTCATGGCCTTCGCCCGCACCCTATCTTCCCCTCCCATAAATTGGAGTAGTTATGTTGATTGTTGTCTTTGGAACGGCATCACTTGTAATCAAGAGGGTTGGGTCACTCATTTACTCTTACCCTCCAAAGGGCTCAAAGGAGGTATGTTTGTCTCATCACTTGCAAATCTCACACATCTCACCCACTTGAACCTTTCCCACAATTCACTTTATGGCACACTTGAAACCAAATTCTTCTCGTCCTTGAATCACCTCAAGATCCTTGATTTGAGCTATAACCTTCTTTCGGGAGAGATACCATTTTCTCTACCACCCAAAAATATTCAGACAATAGATTTGTCGAGCAATCACTTCCATGGTGCAATTCCCTCTTCTTTTTTCCAACAAGCTTGGAATATGACAAGTTTCAATGTCAGCAACAACACCTTCTTTGGGTATATCCCTTCATCTATTTGTTTTCGATCCTCTCCTTCCATAAGAGTATTGGATTTTTCCTCCAATGAATTTAGTGGCAACATTTCTCATGGGCTCGGGAGGTGTTCCAAACTGCAGATACTTCGTGCCGGTCACAATAATTTGTTAGGATCACTTCCGGAAGACATCTATAACGCTACCAAACTTGAGGAACTTGCATTACCTCTCAATTCACTAAATGGAGCCATTTGTGAAAGAATTGCCAACCTTGCCAACCTCACAATTCTTGACTTCTACCTTAACAATTTGAGTGGTGTGCTCCCTATCAATTTCGGGAAGCTCTCCAAGTTGAAATTCATGAATTTTAACTTCAACAGCTTAGAGGGTAATTTGCCTTCATCTTTGATGAACTGCACGAACCTCCTAGAAATACATTTGGGATTCAACAACTTGGAAGGAGACCTCACCACACCTAATTTCTCAAAACTCAGCCACCTTAGTAAACTTGACCTATGTGCGAATAATTTCACTGGTATCTTGCCGATAAGCCTTTACTCATGCAGGTCCCTAAAAGCAATTCGATTGAGTCACAATCATTATTTAGAAGGACAAATACAACCTCAGATTCTTTCATTGGAATCCTTGTCCTTCCTCTCGCTTGTTAATTTACGGTTGACCAATGCTTCAGGGGCAATGAAGATATTAATGCGTTGCAAAAATCTTCGCACACTCCTCATTGGTGGTTCATTTAACCGTGAGGCAATGCCAGCTGATGATGACATGGTTAATTTCCATGGATTCCAGAATCTTCGTTTGTTGAATTTGGAAAGGTGTGGGCTCACTGGTCAGTTACCTGGTTGGTTCTCAAACCTAAAGAATCTAGAGATATTGGATTTGGGTGATAATCAAATCACAGGGTCAATTCCAAGTTGGTTGGGGACTCTTCCGAAACTCTTGTACTTGCAAATGCATTCCAACCAAATTTCAGGTGAATTTCCAAAACAACTTTGTAGATTGCCAATGTTGATGGTGAATGCATCTCTAGTAGACAATTATGAACTTGAACTTCCCATCTTCAGCCGCCGAAAACCATATCCAGCATTTTTTCCGCATAAATTGTCTTACATTCCAGGAACAATAGACCTATCAAACAATAGCATTAGTGGTAGTATACCTACTGAGATCGGCCAATTGCAGCTTATTCGTATGCTGAATCTTGGCAACAACAACTTTTCTGGCAACATACCAGACCAAATATCCAACCTAGGCTATTTAGAGGTTTTGGGTCTCTCCAAGAATCATTTGTCAGGGAAAATTCCCTCGTCAATGACAAGCCTTAATTTCTTGAGCGAATTAGATGTCTCATACAATAATCTCGAAGGACAAATACCAACGGGCACGCAGCTCCAGAGCTTCAATGCTTCTACATTTGAGGGGAACCTTCAACTTTGTGGCGCTCCACTTCCAAATGAGTGCAGAGACGTTGATGCGGATAATAAAAGTAACATCGACCAAGATGCGGACAATGAACGTGATGAGCTTCCAGGGATTTATATTTTTGCAGCCCTAGGTTTCATTGTCGGATTTTGGGGAGTTTGCGGTTCTCTAGTTCTTAACAAGACATGGAGGTACGCGTATTTTCAGTTCTTTGATAATGTACAAGATTCGCTATATGTGAAGATGGCAGTGTGCATGGCAAGGATGAAAAGAAGGATTAGGGACTAGATTGTACTTATCATTATGTATTTTCAATTTAAATAAAACAATTTCAATACACAAAATTTACCCACTCGCTGACACACTCTTTATAGAGGTGGGTCCTACCATTGTATGTGGAATGCACCTATATTAAAGAGTGTTAATTTTGTGTATTCAAATAGTATGACTTTTTCTGTTCTTGTTTGTTTGTTTTCTCATGATGTAAGATTTGTTCTAATATATATGATCGTATAATAAAACTATTCGGACACAGAATATTAACTTTCCTGTTGACGCACTATTTATTTATGGAACATGTGAGCTCTACCATCGTACGTAGATTTCTCTTATATTAAGGTGTGTGTCAAAATAAGTGTCAATTTGTGTGTCCAAGTAGCCGGAGTAGGATTCTTTCCCTCCGGTGCTTGAAAACTTGATGAGTGAAAGCCTCAACTGCACTACCTGTTCTAAAAGTTAAGAAAAAAAAAGGGGGGGAGAAGACCCTTACCATTTCCGTACCAGGATGACTGATCCCTGGCATCCATCCCAGCATCCTTTACGAACCGAAGCCCCATGATTTCACCTTCCCAATCACTTACAATAGGAGTTTTGATACTGTAATGGTGGATCAACTTCCCCGAATGCCGGGTGTCTTCGGAAAGTATTACATGAGCTGATTTTAACACCCGGAGAGCCCTGCATTTGCGAAATTCGATTCAATATCAAATTAAAAGTGAAGAGAAAAGAAAATTATGGTTTGTAACTTTGTATGTAGAAATTGAGTGATACCTTCGAGGTTTCCGATCGGAGTTCCGACTGGATACAGTCCGGGTTCAGGAGGACCCTGCAACCCAAACAAACATTCAAAATACAGTCTTCCAATGAAAAAAACGACAAATTAATGGTTTGATTATGCAAAATCAACGAAATTGAAAATGAAATTGGAGAGAAATTCGGGCTAATTGCGGACGGCGACTGCCTTATGCAGGGGTCTTCAGAACCCGGTTCTACTCATAGGCTCGGCTGATCACAGCCCTTCGATTGACCACGCAGCGTTTGATTGGAGATGCTTATGATTCATCACAGCCCTTCAATTATAAATGAATGTATGGTTTTACATTATTACCCTCCCTAAATATTATCCTAGTTTAAATGAATGTGCGGTTTTACATTATTACCCTCCCTAAATATACCCTTGTCTGTTAAAAGAGTTTTGAGCATCGGCATACCCGTTGTATTTAAGTTCATGTTCAACTTTTATTACGTCTGTAGTTCATTCTTTATCTGCAAGTTTTCGAAAAGGGAGGACAACGGTTCAATTTGAGGACAGAAATGCTATATTCATCTCTATAACCATAAAAATTAATCATATTTATAACCGCAAATTAATCATCAAGAATTATCCATAATCATATCCGCCGGGCAACCGATTTTCAATCTGTTATCAGTTATATCCATTGTCAAAAAAGAAAAAAAAATTATATTCATCCAATTGACTCACTATAAATTTTACTAGATACTAATTCCGTCATTAAATAGCAACATCCAATTACAAAAAACATAACAATATATTTGAAGTTGTTCATAATAACATGCACCAATTTCTTGACAATAAGACTCTTGAAGAGAGATGAATATGATAAACTTGGAATATTTGATAATTGATACATAAAATGATTCAATGAATTAATTTGGTTGAGTATAACAATAAAAGTATTGAATTGATGAGGTTATTGGTATGCCCCATGCATGATGTTTGATGCATAATAAAGATATTATAGAGAGGGTTCGGTAAATTGAATAAAATTATATTATATATCAAATATATATATATACATATATATATTCGGGTCGAATTCGGGACGGATACAGATTGAGGATTCCTATAACCATATCCAAAACCATAACCGAATAAAGTTCACGATTTTTCCTCATATTCATACCATACCCGAATATTCATATCCAAATCCAATCTATTTTGACAGTTATCCACAAATATCAGATTTAACTGTTATTAGAATTGTTACCCTAAAAATGGGGAACAATCTAACATTACTGCTCATGGGATCTAAAACAGTCTCGAGGTGGCATAATTGTGTAACTGTATTTCATTCATGTGTAATTGGATACCAAATCTAACTAAATGTGCTGACTCAGCAGCTCCTTAACTAGCATATACAAAATCCTAATCTGGTGCTTTACACCTTTTGATGAGCTTGTAGTACTTCATTAATAATATTATACAACATCATTTCAATTGTTATATACATTCAAGAATATTGCAGGGGTGATGGCATGCAGCTAATAAACCTTTTACTACAATCTAACCATTTCAATGGAACGCTTCTCTCCTCTCGGAGAGTTTCTTTCTCTTCGTTGTGAGAGTGCTTCTATGAGACCTTCTCCCAGATTCTTCGGTGGCACCTGCCCTAACTTCGACTGGGGTCGGGTGATGTGTCCTCTTCTCCCTCTTCTTCTTCTTTTCTCATTGCATTTACTGTTGGTTCTTGATGAGTCCATATTATACTATATATTTTATCCTAATCTTAGTATTAATTTATTAGTTATTTTGGTAGAATTTTGATACTTTGTTATATATTTTCAATATAGGACATTCGACTTCTTTTGGAGAAAAAAGTTATCAAACGGATGAATTTTGGAGTGATTTCAATTGGAGGATGTTCGTGTGCCTTTCAAGATGATTGTGTCAAAATTCCAGATTTTTCTATTAGGCCATTTGACCGTGGAGATGAAATTAAGGCTCAACGCGCAGCTTTTCCAGATTGACGTTTTGGACATTTTGGGTATTTTTGAGGTCAATATGACATATTTTAAGGAAGATTCCTTCTGAGGATTTGTAGGGGACGTCTTAAGCTTTCAAAAGAGACCTTTGGGACCAAATTGGAGTTGATTTGGTCGGTCAAAAGCGTGATTTTCTGAGAACTTCGAATTCTAGTTCAAATAGGAAACCTTTTATTTTCTGTTTTATTATTTTATTATGCTTCCTAGTTTTATTCTAAGACCTTTTACTAGAAGGATATTAATTAGAGAAATATAAATAAGGCTTGTTAGCCATTAAGGTTTGTACACAACATTGGGGGAGAATGTACACATCAATACTTTGCTAGGTTTTGAAGATTCAAGTTTATATTCAAGGTGTTTTCTATTCATGTTTTCAATAATATTTTGTTTTATGGTTGTTCGTAACTAGTTTCATTTGCTAGGGCGATGCCTTGATCCTTAGCATGAATATATAGTTTTTATTTAATTGCTTATGATATTATGCATGCATACTTTCAATTATTAATCACTGTGCTTTAAACTGTCTCTGTATCTTAATGCTTAGCTACCATTAGGATGTTTAGATAAATAATCGGATATAATTCGGTCGGAATGCCACCGGGGAATTGAGTATTGCTTCTTGTGGTTAATAGTTGTAATTTCACCTAGGGTGAATGCCACGTCTTAGGGGTTGCATGGTTTTTCAAAGGGTTTTCACAAAGCATAACGAGTCATGCATGTTTATATTTGATTTGAATGCCACAGACGGATTGCATGTTTGATCTAGCTTAAATGCCACAAGTAGAATATGCATAAGGAAAACCTAACCTTCAAAGTTGCATGTGTAATTCATAAGTAATTGGTAAATCTACATAGGATTGTTAAGGAGACGGCGAAACCCTAGGTTTTTACAAATTGGTTTTCAAAACTATTTTCTTTTGTTTTTCTTTACTTTGCTAATTTCTTAATTCATTTTTAATTAAATTCGTTTTTATTATTTTTAAATTCAAAATCAACCTTTGACACACCCTGAACGAGATCAGGGCATGCTGGCCGTCACATGGAAGTGACGTAGCCATGTGCACAGTGCGGAAGCTAATAAAATAGTAACGTGAAAGTACGAATAAATAAAAACTAGCATACAATTGTTAAAAGTAATAAGTGCTAGCGCAAGTGAGACGCTAAGTTCAGAGCCAAAACGCCTAAAGCAGTCCAAAAGGAAAAAGATGTGACAATAATACACCCGAAGGTGGCCCTACGCTGGTGATCGTTTGTCAGAAATGCCAGGAAAGCCCTCTGGGGAACCACCAAATTGCTAGCTAGCTAGAACCTGGAGGGGCGCAAAACAAAAGCGTGAGTGGGCAAAAACAAAGCTTTTCTAAAACCATTTCAAAAACAATATTCTAACCCCTCGCCGTAAAACCTGTATACTTCCCAGAAAATAAACATATGTACGTAGATATAAAAATGCCAATCATGCTCAAGAATATATGCCATATCGGAACCTCAGAATGAGATGCAAGTTCTCAGGTATAAATCACATCAATAACCTATAATCTGGTAGCCGGAGTCACCTAATGTGACCTGTACGGCTGCATTTAGAGCTCAAATCTCAATCACAATAACTAAACCTGCCCACGAGTCGAAACCACCTAAAGTGGTCTGTACGACAGGCCTGGGTGTAATACATATAAACGCTCTAGTGCTACGATCACGTGAAGGCTGTGCGAATAATCGCGGGTCACCTACGAGTCGGAACCACCTAAAGTGGTTTGTACGACAGGACTGTGCACCTAACTTGGATCCAAGCTGAGCGTGTGGTGCGGGAGGTGAACATCACGTGAAGGACTGTGCTCTACACTGGGCGGGAGCACGAACACCGGGGGTGCAGGTTATGAGCTCTCTAAGCATCTCTAATCACTATTAAATGCAAATATTAAATAACGCTTACCTGACACTTACCTATGCATCCACAGCACCAATTATGCATACGTATATATATACGACTAATAAAACCACTAATGATGCATAAGTAACGATAATATAACATATGGCATATAACTAATAAACATTTAAATCAATTTTTGGGAAAATATAAGTATATAGGTATATACGGAAAACCAAAAGCCCACTCACTGATAAGTGGAAGGGTCGTAGCCCCCCTGCCTTGAGTGACCACGCTCGTCCTCGGGATACGTCTCACCTATATGCGAAATAACTATAAAAACGTAAATTTTAAAGCACATAACCAAACTTTAGAAATAACTTCTCATACATTGCTCAAATTGGACAATTGAATATACCAACGTGCTCTACACAACCTCAGGATCACACCCAAATTTTTACAAAAAATTTCCACTGCCGCACGCGCCCCCACGCGCCGGCCAAGGCACGGCCACAAGCACCGGCCACACGCAGGCACGTGCCTGGCACGCTGACGGCGTCAACTGACGCCGTTAGGAATATTCCATTAGTTCTAACGAATTCCGTCAACG